ACCTAACCTGCCCAGCTCGGCCCAATCAGTTCGGCACCTAACCTGCCCAGCTCGGCCCAATCAGTTCAGCACCTAACCTGCCCAGCTCGGCCCAGTCAGTTCGGCACCTAACCTGCCCAGGTTGGCTTAGTCAACTCGACATCTAATCTACCTCCAGCTCGGCYTGGTGAGCTCGACATCCAGATCCTCATCCAACAAAAGTTCTCCACTTTAGTCTCTGAATCATCGGCTACTTGGAAGCAATCCAAATGACGAGGTACTTGACCAAAAATTGATTTATCAAATTTCACATCAATACTAGAACGAACCATATAATATACCAACGAACTATACCATGTTGTAGGGCTCATATATATGAAATATTGGCATATTCATTCAGGATTAGTTATTTAATCTGATTCACACATTTATATTTGCAGTGGCCCTCACATTAACTATGGCTTAGCAAAATATATAGTACATCCATCGTCCACCAATGCTTTTAATATGCAAACTCCGTGCAATTGACCATAAGGCTTTGTGTTGAAAGATGATGAGTTGGATTAAAGTGGTATCCATGTGCATACATGCTTTCATGCACATGTGCCGGTTGGTAGGATTCATTCAATATAGCATTCACATTCATAAGGACATTGGGCGCTGGAAGCCTGGAACCGAAAACTTTATTGCCCCCTCCTGTAAGCAAAGCAAGAAAGCAAATACGGAATATGGGATGGGGAAGAGGGGACAGACATGGATGGACAGAGGGTGTAAAGTGAAATATGTAGGTTCTTCCCGGAAGCATCTCAGGCTGTCAATGGGGCAGCTCTTGTCCGGGTCCTGGTGAATCCAGTCTTCAACCCACAGTTAACAGGCCCAACACACCTTCTCCCACATGTGACAGTTAATTCACCCAGTCAATCAATCATGCGTTCAAATCAAATACTATTAAACAAGTGAGTGGTGGCAAATTAAGTAATCCTAGAATAGATACAGTTTCCAACCCCACTATTGGAGAAGAGTTATTAAATAGTTGTTTAAAAAAATGTTGTACTATGCTAGAAAAAAAATGATTTACGACCCTATGGGGCCCAGAAGGCGTGCGTTTAGCAAAAAAAAATACCAATACTGTTACATAGACATCTTCRTGGTCTGCCCATGGGGCTTGGCTTTACATTGGTTGCGGCTTGGGTTTCGGACCAGGTCTATTCAAAATTTTATTTCTATATCGT